TATGCATCAGCTAAACACACCTTTGATAGATAAATGTTTTTTATCTGTCAGACWCTGTCCCTTCACCAAAAATCTGACAGGGGAGGAGAATATCAATCTGGGACACATCTCCAATAATGGTTGATTCACCTCTTTCGCTCCCCCCAGTTATGAAAAGAGAAAGTTCACTTCACAGTTAAAAAAGCAACCCCACATTTTAAATGAAGCTAGTTAACTCCAATAGAAAAAAAGTCTGTGAAAAGTCTTTTCACTTATCTGTGCAAAAAATCGAGTCCTTAGACAAGAAAATTCATAATAATACACCCAAATATTTCCCCAAAATACAGAGGAATTCATGCAATTTTTTCAACTTATGAATAATTTTACTACAGCTCTCCCCTCTCCCCATTTCTTGATCTCATGAGCTGAATTTTTGTTTTCCCTTGAAAACAGTTCAGACCAGACTTTCATTTAATCTCAGTGTTTTGCTCCCCTCCAATGCATCAGCAGCATTGGTGAGCTCCAGCATTCCATCTCTGGGAATTTTCCTGGGTTTTTTTAATTATCTTTTTATTATCCAGAAGATAAAACACAAACATCTCACTCACTACAGCGAGGGAGAGATTTTTCACATCACAATATCACTCTCTAAAAGGTAATATTTGCTTTTTTCTCTCCAGATTGATAAAAAGCAATATGGAAAACTTAAAAATGCATGACACACAGCACTCAACATTCTACAAATTACATCTCTAAAGGCAAYATGATATAAATATTATATATATATTATATATAAAAATATAYTGTTATAGAGAAAATRCATAAAATGGCCAAGGTTCTTTTGAGCTATAACATATTTCAATTTTTCTAATGCAGTATTGCCAGATGGTTATATTGATTAGAGTTAAATCAATCATTAAACCAAAACTGCATTAGCTGATTGGCCAGAAGATTAATAAAGGATTTACACAGCTCCCAAGATCTTTGCTTATTTGACTCAAATAATGAGCCCAATATGGTCCAGTTCCATCTTTTCCTCAAGYAATTTTCACTTCTTACTTYTTCCAGAGTAACACTTCACCGTTTTCTCCAATAATAATATAAAATATATTATTTCACAAATTATAAAATAATATATTTCACAAATAATAATATAAATAATAAANAGTGACACATTGCAGACACACAAACATTAATTTCTCAAAAGGACATTAAGCTGCTTAGAAAGCAACAAAAAAATTATTGAAATCAGCCTATTTCCACGTTTAAAGTACAAAAAAAAAGAATATATTATGATAGCAGTTTAAACTTTCAGGCAGATGTAATATTTCTCTTGCAGACTGGGAATACAGTCTGAAATGTTTCTTATCGTTAAAATCAGCACTCCTGATGTGATGTGTTGATGTATGTTTTTTTAATCCCATATATATGGGAATATTCATATAAAAAGACCTTCAGGAAGGTAAATCTAAACTGCACATGAATATATTCACAGCATTCGTTAATTTATTTTAAGTTTTCCAGCTGACTGAAAAAATAATTGTCTGAAAATACCATGTCATAGTCAATAAATCTACGAATTCAGAAAAAAAATCGAAAGCAAAACCCAGGGTTTTTTCTCCACAAGAAAATGCAGAATGATGTGAGCAAGACATCAGAGATTGGGGTCACACCAGGCCTCCAGTGTTTTATTAGGAAATTTTCCAGATTTATTAGGAAATTTTCATTGAAAGTATCGAACTTTGAGTATTTTCAACATTACAGCTACTGCTGCATACCCTTAATCCTAAAAACTCACAATTCAGAGATGAATCCACACAATAAAAGACATTAAAACACCTCCAGGATTTAGTTCTGAACTGATGGTTGGAAAAGTTGCAATAATTCACAGCCAATAACACCTTACAAATGAAAATCCATTATTCATGGGGGTTAATCCATCTGGAGGCACGAGCTCAATAAAATTTGTTACTTTGCTGTTAAAACAAAGTGCTTTCAGGATTTATACATTTACCTCCTGATTTATGCTCAGCATTCATGTGCTGAACCAAACAACCTAAAAAGAGGAGGATTTCATTCAGCACTCCATGGCCCTGGGCTGGAAAAGAAATTCTACAATTCATAATATTCTATCCACCAAATGTAAGGTTGTCATAGTTAATTTTACTTACAAATAATAATATAAATAATAAATAATATATTCAAAATAGGTGCCTTTGAAATGGACAGACAGGAAAATAAGAAAATTAAATGAGTGAGACATTGCAGACACACAAATATTAATTTCTCAAAAGGACATCAAGCTGCTTAGAAAGCAACAAAAAATTATTGAAATCAGCCAATTTCCATGTTTAAAGTACAAAAAAAAAGGAGAATATATTATGATAGCAGTTTAAAGTTTCAGGAAACATCATAATTCTATTGCAGACTGGGAATAGAGTTTCATCCTGTAACTGTGGAGCAACCAAAGAAAACAAATCGTATCCACTGCCAATGGAAAAATAAATTTTGGAAATGACCTCAACAGAAGATGGTGCAACAGAATCTGGAATATAAAATATATCTGGAATATATCTGGAATATATCTGGAATAT